GCCCATCAGCGGCTTGCTCTCCAACGCCTGCTGCAGCCTGAACGACGGCGAGGTGGGAGACCACTCCACGAAGGGCCCGTTCTGCTTGACGTCCCTCCGAACGTCCTCCAAGAACCCGCCATCCTGGAACCCGTCCTCTCCCGTGATGGCTAGCACGGTGATGGGCAGCAGTGCGTTGCAGTTGATGGCGGACTGGTGGAACTCGGAGAGGAACGGAAAGACGTAGTTGAGTGCAAGCACGATGGACGCCGAGGCGAACGATCCGTCCTGTCGCTCCAGTGCAAGGTTCGCGGCCGTGACGACGGCCTCTTCCAGGGTATTGCGCAGACCCCGCGACAGCGAGCGCTTATCGTTGCCCTCCATGCCCATCAGGATGCCCGTCAGGACCAGGAGATGCTGCCACCTGTTGGAGCGGTCATCGGCGCCCTTGACCACGGCCCGAACCCACGTCTCGCTGCCGAGCCCGCCGCCTTGCCTCGCCGGCGTCTGTGTATGAATCGTACGGGAATCATTGCTGGCGGCGGAGGAAGCCTTTGCGTCGTCGAGCTCGTTCTGCCGCACCCGTATCGCGGCGCTGTTGTAGATTGAAATGATGCGCAGGCTCGTGCGCAGGCCGTCGCGGCGGTGCCAGATGGCGGGGGCGATGAGGAGCTGGGAGGTGAGGACGCCGAGGTTCAGCGGGTTCGAGAGGGAGGCGAGAAGGTTCACGGTCGAGCCGACGATCTGGTCCGTCTTGCGGTCGTCGTGGACGTTTTGGTACAGCTGCAGGACCGTGTTGAGGAGTCTGTCGGCCGGCATCGTGTCGGGTCGTGTCGTATCGTTTCGCGAGACTGGTGGATCATTCGACGGCTATGCTGGAAGGGAATTAACCATAGACGGGAAATGAATGAAGTTTCACGACGGAAGAGACGGTGGTGGAAGAATGGTGCGGCTGGTGATGTCGCCGGTGGATTGCGATATCGAAGCCGGTGCCGATAGCAGGACGTTCGGCGGGCGGGCGCATTTGCCGAGGCACCTGGAGACCGACGGGACACGCCCCTAAAGCCACACCTCGAGCTTACCTTAAGCTGCGCCATCCCTGCAACACCTCCCGCCCACTCTCAATTGGCACCTGAAGATCGTCCACTCAACCCCAGCAACATCGTCACCTCGCGCAGGAACTACAACCACCTACACTAAGGTACACCAACAACCCCCGAAAACCTCGAACAAAAAGGTCAACGACCTCGTACTACCTACAACCCTCATCGCCTACATTCTCTCCTTCTCCCAACCTCGAATCGAACCGAAGCCGAAAAAGAACACCCGACGCCCCAAACAATGTCGCAAACGGCGCGCGACTACCCGCCGACAAACTACAAGACGCCCTCGTTCCCCAGCATCAACTGGCAGCTCCGCGACCTGACGGACGACCATCGCTGGAGCCTCTTCTACATCAACGACATCTGGCGCTTCACCGTGCTATGGACGACGATAATCTACAGCGTCGTGCACCTCGGCGCCGCGGCCATCACCATCGCCATGCACACCAACAAGCGCGGGTCGCTGACGTACATCTGGGCCGTGCCGCTGCTGTACCTCATCGTGTCGGGCGTGCAGGCGCTGGTTGCGGGTAGTGTTGTTGGGCTGATGTGAGTTCTGGTTCTCGTATTTGGCACTCGGGTCAAATATAGGAGTGAAGGGGATGAACACAGAGAGACAGAGAAAGAGAGAGGCTAACATGGGATACTGCGTCACAGCCTAGCTGCGGTTTACCGTGCCGGTTTCTTCTCCATGTCGACTTGGATCCCGTTACTATGGGGCGTCATCAACGTCCTCGTCCTCATTATAGCGTCGTTCACCATTCAAGGTGGTCTATGAACATGGACACGGCATAAGTACACACAAACACCTATACACACCACACACACGATGAAAAGCCAGGCACGCGAAAACTGCATTACTACATAGTAGAGCTAGGAACGATCCTGTTCGACACCTCGTCCGACGGCTTTGTTGTCGTCGGCTGCGACTGCTCGACAGTCTTGATTACCCGCGCCGGGTTGCCCGCCACGCATACGAAGTCCGGCACGTCCTTGGTCACGACGCTTCCCGCGCCAACGGTCACACCCTTGCCAATGGTGATCCCGGGTAGCACAATGACGTTGCCGCCGAGCCAGCAGTCCTCACCGATGGTGATAGGTTTACCCGATTCTGGCCCGCGGGTGCCGTTGCGGAGACGGGGTTCTAGCGGATGTGTGCCGCTGTAGACTTTTTGGGATGTCAGCCTAGGTAATTCGCGGGTCGCGGGTTCAGCCTGATGAGGTGTAGTAGAAGAGAGGAGAGAGGAGAGAGGAGGGGAGGTGACTTACACGAGCAGTTTGGACCGATGAGGGTGCGGTCGCCCACGGTTATGAGGCAGGTGTCTATCCATGTGCTGTTGGAGTTGACGTATACATTCTCACCGAGCCTATTAGGCGGTGAGTACGAGGTTCGCTTCACTTGGCTGTGGAGATCCGGGGGTGGGTGTCACATACTTGACATTGTAGCCGTAGTCCATCTTTATCGGAGTATCGATCCACGGGTAGTCTTCAAGCAGGGCATCGTCCTCATGATGGCGGAGACGTGGCGGAGGGAGAGGGATCGTGTCCCGGTTGATGCTGTGTGGGTTCTCAAGTCAGATTCGTTCACTCCTTATGCTAGGTACGGAGTACACATGAGGTAATGCAAAGTTGCGGAGGACAAGGGAAGCTCTCATAAGGTCATGAACGTGCCGATATCCAAATGATGCGGGGACATGGTGATACGCGCAAAGTGAACTGGGGGGTGGAAATAGTGAAACAGAGAAATAGAGAAAAGAGAGAAGAGACTCACTCTTTCCACATGCCGACGAGGGTACGGCGGCTGACATCGCCAGCGTTGTTCAGCTTGTCGCAGGCGGCCTTGCAGCGTTTCCTGTCGGCGATGAGATCCGGGGTAAAGGCCCAGTAGAGCTCGCCGTTTCTCATGCGCCTCCGGTTTTCTTCCTTATCGATGGTGCGGATATCCATGGCTGCGTCTTGGAGGATGAGCATGTGGGACAAGTATGTTGTGCGCGGTCACGCGTATGTACGTATGTATGTGTAAGGGACGTAGGTATGAGTTGAGGTGTGTTTATGTTTGCCAAGCTTGTGTAAGGCGAGGTAAAGCGAGGTGAGGTGAGGTGAGGTAAGTTCAGGATGGGGGTCAGGGGAACCTGGGGTGGAAACAACCGACTTGTCGGTGAGTTAATAAGAAAAAGGATATCCACAAAGATGGACAAGGGGGAACGACGAGGAGGAATGTAATTGATGGATGCAAGAAGCGAGACCAAGGTGTTTCTATTGAAGACGGGGTCGTTTGGGAAAACCTAGAGCACACCCCAAGACTTTTTGTATGATGAGGAGGAAGAGGAAAAGGGTCTCTATGGTAGCGCAGTGTAGGCACGGAGAGTAAAGTAGTGTATTGGATCTCGGATGCCAATTGCCGGCCGTTATCGAGCTACGGCAGTAGTCTGGTAGTTTAATTCACGAGCTGGCAACACTGAAGAGAGAGGCATTAAAGGATCAAGTGACCAATTGAAGCAACGGAGCTAGGAAGAAGAAGGGAAAGGGAAGAGAGCAAGAGGCTACGCAGCAGAGCTAAAGGTGGATGATCTGGTCGGTGAACCCGAAGCAAGGTACGTGTGAATGGGGACGGGGGGGGGGGGGGAAACGAAGAAAGAAGGGGACCAGACCAGCCCTGGACCATGTTGGTTGCTGGTGCTGCTCCTCCCCAGTGCCCCCCCTCCCAAAATGGGAAAAAGAAGCAGCTGCCAGCAACAGCAGTATTTTGCACGGCACCTAAGAGCAGTCAGTATACGAAGTATCCGTAGGTGTTCAAAGCGCATCGATGGCCCGCGGGGGCTCCACGCACTTGCGTCACCCACCCCCCTTAACTCGGCCCGCGCTCGCGCTTGGCCTTACCCGCGTCAACTGTGTGTGCACCACACAGATACCACGCACTCACTCCAGGTCATCATCTCTGTCTGTCTCTGTCTGTCAGCCACAGCAAACATTAGGTTGTTTAGCAAATCCTGTTTCTTTCGGCCCTTGCTCACGTATGTTGCCTCGCTGAATGGGGCAGGGACCTGTTGAAGAACCCGTTGAAGAAAATAGTTTCACCTCACATCACAACGGGAATAACCTCAGCATCCTCTAGCTGGGCTGAGGTGGAGAGACTAACGCTGGAGAGAAAAGGTGGGGGACGACATCTGATTCCGCATCTTGGATTCCACAGTCTGCGCGGTACAGAAAGAAGATCCAACGTCTGTGCAGTCTCACGTCCACATCTCCACGATTTTTACTAGTATAGCACTCGAATACCTCCGAGAATTGCAGCAAACGACCGGCAGAACCTGGAACCCACACTGAACGTCGGAGTCTCGCAATTCACGAATCCGAGAGACTCCGTTTCCACGCATGTGGCTGACGAACGCCTACTTCATACTTCATACTTCACCTTTACTACCTAATTCACTCCATCGCAAGCCCACCGCCACAGAAACGCTATGATCTGAACTCGAACAGAGTCACCAGCACTGCCAAGTTTTTTCTTCTTTCCCTCTTTCTTCTTCCAGCTTTTCCCTTTCGTCGCAACTTTCCGTAGACGTCTGTGTCAGTGTTGCAAAAAAAACGGGAAACTTGGCTCGCATTGGTTCTTCTCGCATGGAAATGACGGCACAAAAGAAGCTAGAGCCAACTTTGCCCCGCCACAACAGTGCTCTCCAGTCTCAACGTCGTTCCGGCTCGTTGAGGCTCTGTTTTCCTCGCAACGTAAACTCTGCCACACTTGCGTCTGCCCTTTGCCGTATCCCGCATCCCGCGGCCACCACCACAACTCTACAAGTGGGCTCCCGAGTGGCTTAACCTCGACCTGCTTGGATTTACAGAAACATCGGATCAACGTATCTTTCACACAAATCAGCCACAACCATGTCGACCTTCCGTCGGGTGTAAGTACCTATCTACCTTACCTAGCACCTATCTCTACCTTTCCCTACCTTACCTTGCTATCTGTCACCATCCATTCCCTGTGTCTTTCCTCCTCAGTCTTGCTTCAACCACAGCCGCAAACTCAGCCACACCACCTTCGGTCCCGGCATCAATCACAAAAATACCATCCCGATCTACCGTACCCTCGCCCCGTCTCCTCCCCGCAAATGTCCGGTCCCATACCCTCCTGTCCTGTTCTGTCGTATCCCTGATGTGAGGTGAAGTGAGGCGAGCAAGTGTGGCCGCGACCTCGACGTCCTCGGACACCTCCAAAGGACGTTCAGTCCTACGGAACTCTGCCCCTCAACACCAAAACCCCCACCATCGCGATGTCTTCCCGCACGCCCACGAACCCCCTCTACTCCCAACCATCAAGCCTCCTGAACCATCACCGCCACAACCAAAAAGACTCCCAAACTAACATCCCCCCAAGCGACGCCCGCCCCCAGGACCCTCCCATCCCAGGAAAAGAATACTACCCAAACCAACCAAAATCCCTCGCCGGCATCGCCCTCCGCGCCTTCCTCCTCGGCACGACCTTCACCCTCGGCCTCCTCTCCCTCTCCCTCCTCCTCCTAACAACCTCGTCCCCGCTCTGGCGCCTCCCCTTCTTCCTCTCCGCCCTCTCCCTCTTCCACTTTCTCGAATTCTACACAACGGCAGCCTACAACACCCCGCAAGCGACGGTCCACGCCTACCTCCTGACAGCAAACTGGCCCGCCTACGCAATCGCCCACGCCACAGCCTTCCTCGAGTGCCTCCTCACGAACCTCGTCTTCCCCGACAGCGTCTGGGCGCCCTTCGGCCTCCGACCCTTCTTCCTGATGGCAGGTCTGCTCCTGGTCGGGCTGGGCCAGACGGTCCGCTCCGCGGCCATGGTCACGGCGGGCCAGAGCTTCAACCACACCATCCAGCACTACCGCGCAGAGTCCCACACCCTCGTCACGGGCGGCGTGTACGCCTACTTTCGGCACCCTTCGTACTTTGGCTTCTTCTGGTGGGCTATTGGCACGCAGCTCGTCATGGGAAATGTCGTGTCCTTGGTGGCGTACGCCGTCGTGCTGTGGTACTTTTTTGCAAAGAGGATACGACACGAGGAGGAGCTGTTGGTCAGGTTCTTTGGACAGGATTACGAGGACTATCGCAAGCGTGTCGGGACCATGATTCCCTTTTGCGGGTAGTTAGTACGGGGCTCGTCATGGCACGCAACTAGAAGAACAACATGTTGAGCCAAATGCCAAGTATTGTGTTTTGTCTAAAACCCAGAAATCATAGTGTACATTAGAAAAAATTACCAGGCCAACGTCGTGACCCATTTGAGGTTTGTTTTGCCCTAGTTACGAGCTTGCAACCGAATTACAGGCCATTTGCCTGCTGACGCTGCCGTACTTGGCCTGCCACGCGTAAAAGTACATTAGAGCCGCAAAGGGCTGCCCGAGAATGGTGAAGGAAACCCAGAAAATGCAGTTGCCGAGCATGCGACCCGTTGGAGATTGCATCTTTTCCAGAGGGGTGGTGAGGGCAATAAGGGGGAGTTGGAAGAACATGCCCGCAAAAGCAACACCTGTTTGTGTTTCTTAGCCGATTGACTATACAAGTGTTTCCCCCGGGACGACTTACCAATGATGTTATGTGTCGGGATACCAACAAGAACCTCGTGCAGAACAGCAGACGCAAAGAAGACGGCCAGTTGCGCGGCTCTTGGGCTCCATCCTCGGCCGATCAGGGGTGAGTAGACATGACGCTTGAAGTACTGGTATACGGGCTTGTTCCATAACCGCCAGTATGCACCAAGGCTCTCGCTGTTCCACCAATCCTCGTAGAAACACCGGTCTCCAAACCGGGTGACTTCAGCGAGGGCGTTGAGGAAGGATTGGAAGAGGGCAAAGAAGCCGGCGAGCCAGATGACCAGAGAAATCGTCGAGAGCTTCATCAGCCGCTCGAGAATCTTAGGGACGTCCAAAGACGCAATCTTATCGAGAGAGTTGATGAGGACAGGGGCGGCGTACTGGGCGCTGGCGAACCAGATAAAGACACCCAGACCAAATACCTCTGCCATGCGCTTCGCGACAAAGACCCATCTGATCTTGTCCGTCCTAGGGTACGCGGGCTGGTAGACCAATGTCGGGGCCCACCAGAAGTACGCCAGGTTGTGCATCGAAATGTTCTGAGGATACGGACACTGCTGGTAAATCTCGGGCATGGCAGCGAGCTCGCCCTTGACAGGATGCAAGTAGGCATGACGCAGGTCTCGGTTCGTAAAGGCGTACGACGCCGTCTTGAGCCAGACGATGATGGCGTGGAGCTCAGTCAGAGTGCCGATCAACGGGTGGTGGATGTGGAAGTACACGACGTAGGATGTAACGGTCAGCGCGAGGGTGATGTTAACGGCGTGGATCCAAGCGATAACCTTCCAGGTCGAGTTGAACCTCGCGCGCTGGTCCTCTGTTGGGCTGGCGGCTCCGTCTTTCGATTTCGCCCGCAAGCCCCTTGCTTGCTGGGCGGCAGCTAGTTCGATTAGGTACGCGGCGATGAGATGACAAGGGATCAGAAGATATAAGCCCAAGCCGAGAGCGAGATCTTGCTGGCGGAAATCGTGGCAGCCAATACAAATCAAGACTCCGTACTACAAGCGCCTGATTAGTGACGTGGGTCTACACATCAAGAACAGCTCATTGAAGCCTACTTTTTGAATGTTCTCCATCATCAGACGAAGATTACCGACAACTATACTTGGTTAGCCAATGCCATTGAAAAGCTCCGGCATCGGCTCGACGTACTTAGGACAATAATCATCAAGTTCCTGAAGCCAATGAAGCTCGGGGCCGTGTTAGAGTCATGGCTCAGGGTTGATGGGCGCGATTTGGAGTGGACGGCAGCGACGTGTCTGTATTTCTTTTGAATAGCCCTTCTCAGCTCGTCGGTCGTACGGTTGGTGTCGGGTGTAGTCGGCTTGACGGCGGCCTTGGGGTTGGAGTTGCCATTGGAGGTGCCATTGTGCTTGTTACGCAGGGAGGAGGAGGTAGTGGTGGTGCTTGAGCTCTCAAGGTTCGTCACCGTGGCCGTGTTCATGACGGGCAGGACGTCCTTGGAGCTATTGGGACCTCAATAAGAATGTAAGAGAGAGGAGGAGGAGGAGGAGGAGGAGAAAGGGAAAGCGGCCGTAGTGGATGACGAGGGGAAAAGATGGGTGAAAGTATAAAAGTGAGGAGACGTGTAGGTGGGCTGTCAAGGAAGAGCTATGTACATGCAATGCAGGGAGCGAAGTGGTGGCAAGCGCGATAAGATAGGTATCGGACTCGTTAGTATAGATCTCTAATGCAAGACACCGCGCGCGGCCGGGTCAGGCAAGATGAAGAGTACGGATTGACTTTGTAGCCGGCGTTTCCAAGGGGAAAACGGACGGCGCCCGCGAATCGATCTGAGCTCCTTTCAGAACTGAGGAGAAGCTATTTTATCTGGATTGGACGGTCCAGGTAGGGCGCATTGGCTTTTTGGCTGTGCCTGGTGAGGGGCAATGGCTGAGGTGCAGGAAAATGATTGAGTGGTGAGGTAGCTTTAAAGAAGGGGGTACGTCAAGGCACAGGGGGGGAAAAGGTAAGTGAGGTATGTAGTCGGAGGGAAAACCAGGTGGAGGAGGCTAGGCCGACGCCATCAGACCTTGTAGCGTGGGGATTCGTTCATCAACGTGGAGGAATGATGGAAGAGGAGGCGCGCTGACGACAAGAATGCAGACGGCGTGCAGGACGGGCCAGTTGAAGAGATGCGATGCAGAGAACTGATCAGAGACATGGAAATGCAGGAGAGATGAAGTAAACAAAACACAATTTACGAAAAAGAGAGAGACGAGTGACGACGGGCCAAGGTACTAAGGTAAGGTATGGTCGATATGATGGCACGGCCCATTGGGGCGGGATTGGAAGGGGAGACCTTGAGAATGTCAGGGTCGTTGAGCTGTCTGACCCGGAACCTGGCTGGATCAACGGAGAGCGCCTCAAAGCTAGCGCTAATGCATGACCGCAGAGAAAGAGACAGCAGAGGAGACAGAGAGAAAAAAGCCCGTTGTGTTTAAAATCACCCAACACATCCTGCATCCTGACGCCGCCAGCCTAGGCAAGTTGAGGCCTTGAGAGAGAAAAGTCGCATGCATCCAATGCACGCCAAGGGTCTCTACGGCTCCACGGATAGTGACGGCGATCCCCGGTGGCAGCTCTGAGTGGTCCAACATGGGGTTCACCTCGTGGGTCCAGGGAACTTGGGAGTCAGAGTCTAGAGAAAAACGAAGAGGGAGCCGTGGCTTTGCAACTAAAAAATCACATGTGAAAGTGCCTGACTGACTGGGCAGTGGGGAGAGGGGCCATAAGAAATCGCACCTTGCCATAAATTATCACCTCACGAAGAATCGCGGGATATTTTTGGGCATTCGCGGTATGGGAATGGAAATTTGGGACATGGGCGCCCCGATATTGGCCCGGATAAGAAAACCGATAAAAACCGTGGGCCGTCGACCTTCCCGGGAAGTGTACGGGTACGTACCCAGGCTGCATTAGCTCATCGACCGAAATTGACGACGTTGGGAGGGACGTGCCTCTGTGCCTCCTTCCTTCAGTCCACAGCAGAGCTCACAGCTCCCAGCTCTCAGCTTCTGCGGTCATGTGACTGCGAGAAAAGTAGCTGGCCTGTGCACGCGTCGCGCTCGTTTTCACTGTGATTGGCGACGTACCAGCCTCGTGGAACCGAACAATGCTGAAGCTCCCTCACCAACAAGCGCCATTTCACATTTTACTGAAATTTCGGGGTTTATTTCATCAGCCATAAACTACATATGAGCTTAATATCAACAAAGGGAGATTGCGAAACCCTCATGAGAGTTTAAAGATGGCGTATGATCCTCGAGGGGATCACCATGGTAGGAGAGGAGGAGGAGGAGGCCCAGGCGGCGATGGGGAGGGTCAAGATGGCGGTTTCGTGAGAGCCAGGGGTCGACGTGAGTTTTTACCTAGATTCTCTAGCACGAGCTCATGCGTAGAATACCCAGAGTGGAAGCCCTTAGTCTACATGATGAGAGACAGGGGCGAACACCGTCTGGACTTCTCATCTCAAACTCCTGCGCGCTTGAGACAAGGACTAGCTTCTACGAGCATATAACTGACGTCCCCAGGTCCTGTTACTGATTATGGCTCAACCGTCGCCAACTGGATGCGCCATCGCTCGCCACTTGACGGTGACGCATATACCGGAGAAGTCGAGAGGCCAAGTGCTAGCTTCATCGTTGACGTGAGTCCTCTACAAGGTCGCTTTCTCCTCTCCGCATCCCTGACACTAACATGATCAAAGTTCATACCACCCGCCGCGAGGAGGACAGATCCCGGCGATACAATCCCAGTGAAGCACCTCCACTCATCACTGAATAAGATCAAGCACCCGGTCAACGTGGTCCGGTGGACGCCGGAAGGACGCCGCCTGTTGACCGCGTCGAGCAGCGGAGAGTTCACATTATGGAACGGCACCGGATTCAACTTCGAGACCATTATGCAGGCTCACGACTCCGCCATCAGAGCCCTCGCTTATTCTCACAACGACGACTGGCTCATCTCTGCCGACCACGACGGAAGCGTCAAGTACTGGCAGCCCAATTTCAACAACCTCCAGAGCATCGCCGCGCATAACGATCCGGTTAGAGACCTCGCATTCAGCCCCAACGACTCCAAATTCGTCACTGCATGCGACGACTCGACGCTCAAGATTTTTGATTTTGCTGGAGGAGTAGAGGAGTCGACCCTCAAGGGCCACGGCTGGGACGCAAAGAGCTGCGACTGGCATCCGACAAAGGGCTTGTTAGTATCGGGCTCAAAAGACCATCTGGTCAAGCTGTGGGATCCGAGGACAGGCCGGTGCCTGACCACCCTCCACGGCCACAAAAACACAATCACAAAGACGCTGTTCGAAAAGGTCCAGGGCGACTGCCTGGCGACGTCAGCACGAGACCAGACGGCCCGCGTCTTCGACCTCCGCATGATGCGCGACATCTGCCTGCTCAAGGGACACGAAAAGGACATTTCGACCATCGCCTGGCACCCAGTCCACTCCAACCTCCTCAGCACAGGCGGCCACGATGGCTCACTGTACCACTACATCCTAGACGAGCCCAACACGCCCGCCGGCCACGCAAACTCCGTAGCCCCCTACGACAGCTCTGACCCGTCGACGACTCCGGCACAGACGATATACCCCGCCCACAAGGTCCCCTTTGCTCACGACTTTGCCATTTGGTCCCTCGACTGGCACCCGCTCGGCCACATCCTCGCCTCGGGCTCAAACGACCGCATCACGCGCTTCTGGTCCCGCAAGCGGCCCGGCGACGCAGACGTCTTCCAGGACCGCTACCACGTCGGCGAGGCCGCCGCCGAGGCCAACGGCACGTGGGACCGCCGCGGCGGGCGCCGCCAGCGCCAGGAGGAGGAGGAGATGGAGCTGGAAGACGAGATGGATGGCCTCGTCGACCAGAAGATGCCTCTCAAGCAGCCCATGGTTCCCGGGTTCCCAGGCCTCCCCGGTCTGCCGGGCCTGCCTGGCCTACCGGGTCTCTCCATGCCGCAGAACGGCGGCGCAGGCGGTCCCGTCCCGCCACCGCCCATGATCCCCGGCGTCGGCGGCGCAGGCGGCGCGCCCCCTCCGCCCCTACCCTTCCCCCTGCCCGGCCTAAACGGTGCACCACCGCCGCCGATGATCCCAGGTCTACCGGGCGGCATCGACCCGAGCAACCCAGCCGACCTGGCCAAGATTGCCGAAATGATCCAGAAGGCGGGTGGCACCTTACCTCCCCCGCCACCAGGTGGCTTCGCGCCGCCGCCCGGCATGGTGCCGCCGCCGAATTTCGTGCCGCCGCCCGGGTTCCCGCCCATGCCCATGTCCATGCCGCCGCCTCCTGGCGCGAATAACAACCACAGAGACCGCGATGACGGCGGCCGTGGCGGTAGGCGGGCGCCGCTTCCTAGTCAGGAGGAGAGTCTGAAGCAGGAGCAGCGACGTGGGAACTATACGCGGTCCCGTTAGGAGAGCGAAAATGTAGTAGAATTAGGTGCGCATGGGGGGCGTGGAAGCCGCAAACGGGGGGTGGGAAGGCAAAATACGACTCGGAAGTCGTCGATTTGGATTTTCTCCGGCCCTCGGCGTGCCTTTCATTGTACGAATAGTGGCTTTGAGGAGGAAATAACGGGTTGATGATACCCTGGCGCTGGAGGGGAACCAAAATACACACAAGTCAAGTCACGGTCCGAGGAAGTCTTCGTCTTTGAAAAATGTGATGATGTATGTATGTGAAGGCATGCTGTCGACAACTGTCGACTGACCAGGCTTGTCTAGTGTACATGTGCCCCACTGCCTGTAGCTTGGATGACTTCGCATGATGCTTGTGTCGTAGCTCTGTGTATGCAAATATGCGATGCAGCCGACCCCTATTCTGTGTGTCTCTCTCTCCTCGGGTTGCTTTCCCCTTTCAAAGTACAGTAATGGTACATATGTGAAAGCAGAGGAGAAACTATGAAGAGCCAACTCGGCCTTATGCTAAATCCCCGCCAAATAGAAGAAACCCCAATGGTCCATATCGGAAAGCAACCTCCCCACGCACGCCCCCATGATCCTTCAGCAACCCCGCCGATCCATTCTATGAACGGCCCTTGCCGCCGCCGCCAATCTGCTTCTGCCTATCCGCGTACTCCTTGACGACAATGGCGCACGTCGCCTCGGTACAGAGCCTCTTGCGGCGCTGCGGCGCAAGCTTGCTCGCAAACTCGAGTCCCGCAGCGCGCTCCACGGCCTCGAGCGGCATCTCGAACTCGGACAGCGGCTTGGAGTTGGGGATGGGCGCGTTGGGCATCACAAAGGCGCCAATGGCGACGTTGCCGCCGGCTTTCCCGTCCTCGGCGAAGATGACCTTGTAAAAGTGCGTCGGCACGGCGACGTTGGGCGGGTTGCCGATGACCTCGTACTTTGTGTACCACTTGCCGTCGACGGGGTCGCGCTTGGGGAGGTACAAGGGTCCGGTGACGATGCGAACGGAAGGGTACCGCGTCGTCAGGCGACGGCAAAAGTCCTCGAAATGGGCCCAGTAGTCGCGGTTGAAGCCGTCGCCGACCTGCGGGCACATGTTTGTGAGGTAAAAGGTGTCGTCCATGGCCTTTTGGGACCACTTGCAGTCGGCGGCGGGGACCTGGTGGCCGCGGTCGTAGCCGCTGCGGAAGTAGTCCTTGAGCTTGGCCTGGAACTTTTCGGGGACGGAGGCGTCTTCGAGGAAGACGCTGTGCTTGCGGTCGCCGTCGCGCTGGGCGAGGGAGGCGGGTGTGATGTGCTCGACGACGTAGTGCGGGTTGCGGGTGCGGCGGTCGAAGGAGGAGACGAGCCCTTGCCGGGTCGCGAGGTCGGCTACGGGGCCCGGGAAGCCGTATTCGAAGATGCCTGCTGGGTCGACGGGGCTGCCCGACGCTACGGGGACGGGACCCGGGCCGCCGGAGGGTGAGGGAGGGAGCGGGACGGCGTTGGGGTTGGTGAAGACTTGGGTGCTTGGGATGGGGACGGTGGGAGCTGTCGAGAAGGAGGAGTTTGTCGTCGGTGCCGTTGTCGTCGCGGTGGGAGGTTGCTTTTGGGAGCGCATGGAGTAGATCGAGGCCGTGAGCGCGGCGCCGCCTCCGGCGCCTAGCGCCATGAGGGCGAGGGAAGTGGTTTTCGACATGGCGACGGTTCGGTTCGTGGGGAGACGGTTTGGGTCTTTTTTGGGGCTGTCTCTTGCAGCTACCACGACAGGATAGTGGGAGAGGGAGTTGGAAAAGTTGCCCAATTTCAAGGATCCGCTGTTGCTGACACTACTCTGGCCACGGGGCAAGGAGAAAAGGGCATGTGATGATGTTGCTGGTGTTGGTGTGGTGGGTGTCTCACCTCACGGGACGGGGATCTGGAGCTCGGAGCTGGAAAATTTTGGGCAACGGTCGGCAGCGCATAGCCCGGGGCAGCGATTTCCAGGGACCTGCTCGGAAAAGGAACAGCTCAGTGCGGCAGCCGGCAGGAGATGCAGCCACGCAGCTTCCTTGTCCCGAGCATTTGCCGGCGCGAGGCAGGTGGACCGTGGATGTGGGGTGGGAAGGAATTCAGAGCAGGGGCCCATGGGAAAAGTTGAGGTCGACGACTTCGGTGTGACATGCTTACCGAGATCAGTTTGTCGGTGAGGGCGGGGGTTCTGCGGATGACTAAATCCCAGTCTCCGATTCGCGGCGCATTTCTGCCCTGCGCGCGCAACGTAAACTCTCTTTTTGAAGAGGGATCCTGGCCTACTGGCATCAAGCATTCAAATAAGACACAACATTAGCATGCCGCTTCAACCACAATTGCAATAGAGATCTTTCACGTGTTGCGCAGTCTTCTCTGTCAGCAGGGCGCTTCGGGCGGCTTCAGTGAGTTGGCGGCTAGCGCACATCACGGGGCTCGAGGAATACTTCGTAAGGTCAGGTAAGGTACGTGGATACCTCATCCCGCCATCCGGGTTCTCAAAGCCAAGACTTGATCCATTCACGGACGTGAGCTGTCAACATGCCTTGACTCGGTCTAGGACATGGGCGAGGGATCCCTATTAAAGGGGCGAGCAATAACACAGTTCTGCGTTGTTTTGTGACTTTGCCCGGCTCAGCAGGATCGAAACAAGTTCTCAGTGTACCTAGTGTTGGCTGGTTCATCGCTTCAACTCTCGTTAGAAAAAGAGCCGCATGTTTCCTGCATCAGAAAGGAAGAAAAGGTGGGTTGCTTTCGGGGAGGGTCAGACGGCAAGCTGCAGGGCGGCAATCGACTAGGAGAAGGATGAATAAACCTAGTAGCACCAGCCTGTAGGTACAAGACCAAAACAGAAGAAAGCATGCAAGTAAGAATGAAAGGGAAACGGACTCTGTCGGGACATGAGACTCCCTCATAATACTGAGGTGACGAGTCTGACTGGTAAAGGCCATCAAGGTTCTCAAAATCCGGTGCAAGAAAAGCCCATGAAAAAGGCAGGCCCATAAGGGCCCCCCTCCCCAGCCATGGACCACCACTGGGAAACAACGCACCGGCCCCGCCAACAGAGCCAGAGCCAGAGCCAGATTCAGCGCCCCCGAATCCATGTCCCACGCAGGTGGAAAGCTTAAGGCGCAGAAGTCTCTCCCACTCTCCCCACCAGTCTGCGCGCAAAGACGCATTTGATCTACTAGCGGCCATCGACATCACCACCTTACCTTATTCTCTCTGCAACATTACCATACACTCCTTCGTTCCCTAGACCTACGCCTTCACTTCTCCTCCTCGCTCCTCTTCTCTCCTCTCCTCACCAACCCGTGGCGAATACCTTCAAGGCCTCACCTTAGCACCTTGATATCCTTTCATACACCAGCTATCCTACCTGCGTCTGCCACGACCAACCTACGTACCGTACACCACTTGCGATCCAACCGGGTCCCTGCGCACATACAACCTTACCCTACGTCAGAGGCCTGCCGCTCTGCTGCGGACGCAGCCACCTAAACCATTTACCGTATCCAAATTCCTGGGATTGCGACGACACTCGAGAACCATATAGGTCGAATCACATACGAGAAGAATATCAAATCACGCATTCCATTCTGCATGCGCCGAGCACACAGACATCCTACAGCCATCGATTGGAGGCGTTGAGCTGAGCTGCCCATCATGGAGTCGACGGAACTTGACAATGACACCAGGGGGTGGATTATGTGCATCGTGAGCGGAATAGGTGGGTGATCAAACACACACTGCGTCCTGCCTTGGCCTCCTACGACGAACATTGGCTAACCTTTTGCTTGCTTGACAGCTTGTGTCGTGGGCGCATCTATCATCTGTGTCGACCTCGTTATACGATACCTCCCCGGGAAACGCAACTTTAGGATACAAGACAGCAATGCCTTCCTGGCATGCTCTCTAAGTCTAAGTTTCGGTGTCATGGTGGGTTGAACCCCAGAAGCTCACACAATAGGATTCTGGCAAACGCATACTGACTTTATTCTTGCAAAACAGCTTTACTCAGCGTTAAACAACATGCTCCCATCCGCAAAACAATACCTTAAGGAGGATGGCTTCCAAGACCAGATCGCTGGGTTCCTTATCATGGCCTGCTTCATTGGAGGCTTTGTTGGCATTCAGGTCATTTCACGCCTACTGCATCAGTACATGCCATCTCACGTTGTCGATTGCGACCACACGCATGACCATAACGAGACCGATACCCGATCGCGCAGCCAGAGCAGAAAGACTTCTTTGTATACCTCTAGCCGCCGCTCTTCTCGACGGCCGCTTGTTGAAAGAATAGCAAAGAATGGCCACGCTACCGAGTCTACACCACTTCTGAATGGAGAGGTTGCACACGAGAACGGCGCACCACCCATGGCGAAGCGCCATGCCTCGAGTAGGGGCAATCTGAGTCTCAGCACCAATCACGCTACTCCCACGACCCGAACCTCGCGAAGCCGTGGCCCCACCGTGGATAGACGACCGTCCATGGCCCAAGTCCAACAGCGGGTCATGTCCTTCGTCAAAGACACGAAGACGAATTGCGACGAAGAGGGGCCATGCTTTGGATACACGGATCCTTGTGGTCAGGAGTGCTTCAAGCACCTGAACAGCCGCTCGACATCCACATCAAAGCCTCCGGCTATCCTGCGCACCAATACAGGGCACTTTTACGCTCATAGCCATACGGATCTGGAAGACTTGGAGGAGGGTGGTTCCTCGTGTAACTCTCCAATCAGTGGGACAATGCGAACCAGCCGCGCAGCTTCAAGGGAACCTCTGCCGGAGCACGATGACACGCATCACCACCACGACCACAGTCACAGTCATGGCCACGATCACTCGCATCACGATCATGACGCTCACGGTGACGACGAACACGCGGACGAAGATGTCGAGGCGCAACATCATCATCACGTACCTACCAATGCCTTCCTCTCTCTCGGCTTGCAGACTTCAATCGCCATTGCGCTTCACAAGTTCCCAGAGGGTTTCATTACCTACGCCACGAACCACGCAAATCCGGCACTGGGTTTCAATGTCTTTATGGCACTGTTCGTCCACAACATCACTGAAGGATTTGCCATGGCACTGCCGTTGTACATGGCTCTTGGGAGCCGCATGAGGGCTATGTTCTGGGCCGCGATCCTCGGTGGCCTTAGCCAGCCTTTGGGTGCGGGCATTGCTGTGCTGTGGTTCAAACTCGCGAAGCATACTCACCTCACGCCGAATGCTGTCTCTTACGCTTGCATGTTTGCCATTACGGCTGGAATCATGGTGAGCGTCGGCCTTCAGCTCTTTGTTGAGGCGTTGAGTTTGAACCACAATCGGAATCTCTGCATCTTTTTTGGTTTCATGGGAATGGCTTTGCTGGGCATCACGGGTGCCATCGCTTCTACGCATTGAACAGGCGGCGTGGCATTGGTAGGATCATCAAAGTGGGAAATCAAACCTCTCTCAATCGTCGGCGTTTAGGACTATTTGTTTATATTGGCGGGTACACATTTCAACAAGGATGGGCATAGGCAAGGGTGGCAGGGCACACATGCATTAATACCATAGGGATGGTCTACGGCTGTGCGGGTTCCAACTTTATAGACTGGATAGGTGGCTCAACATTGAGACCTCTCGTGAGCATTGGGCCTCTGGTCCTAACAGGTTGGATTGGGATTTGCTGCAACGCATTGACGATCGCTCGGAATTATAGATAATGGCCATCAAAGAATGACGTTTGAAATCATATTAACCTAAATAATTTCAAGAGTGATATGAGATTGTGTAATCCGAGTAACAACTTTGGAAGCAAGCGTTCGCTAGTCTTTGATGGTAATATGTGTGATATAGATCAAGGTAAAGTTCATGTGCTATCATTAGCTATATGGAAGCCTATGTATGAGACAACATTGCAGACGTATTTCACTACGAGACAATGTGAAAGCAAGAGAATATCAAGTGTCGCTGAACATTAGCCCTCCGACAAGGCCAAGGGCCAGGACTGAGAAGCAGAGGCAGGGACTGTTCCCCACGGGATTGGCACTGGTCACTCTAAGCAGTAGATACCGACGAGAATTGAGTTCGAAGCGCGGGCCAATGTGGCTCACGCTCGGCTTGGTCTATGCCTTCGGCACTGCTTAGATCCAACGGTCTCTTTGCACCGCATTCCCCGGGATAAAAGCGACAGGAGCACGTGGACGGCCTGCTATATCAGACAGGCGATAGGCCATGGGCCAAACAAGCTGAGATACGCCAGTTCTCTTGAAACAAGAGAGGGTTCGAGAATAAGTGGTCGTGGGTCCCTAGCCACGCGCTCCCCTTGTTTTCTGACCCACGAGGAGCACGTCGAGGGTCATCCAAGTAAACACTGGTCGTACTGTAATCGTGAAGAGAAGAAGCACCACGAAATTTCCACTGTGAATTCGCAGCCAAAAAAGCGTAGAAACGCATGGCTTCTCTTAACTCTCACTGTGCCCCCCCCCCCCACTTTCATCCCGCCAAAGATCACAGAGCCAAGGGGTCCAGAGCTTAGGCCGTCCTTCAACTACCATCCAATCACAGTTAAGATCTCAGCGCGCAATGTAAACAAACGAAGCGGCCCCTCTCCAAAATATCCCCGTCGCGCTCTACGTACCGCAACCGCAGCCCGGAACCCCCATCCACTCCTCTCTCGCCTGACATCATCAACCCTTCCTCTTCCAAATCAGGGACTCGCTGGCTCGACTTCTTCCGTCTCTTTGCTCTCCTCTCGATTGTCACCGACATTCACGCAGACGAGATTGACAATTCTCACTCGCAAACAGTCAACATGTCGCCGCCTCGCCGTCGTTCGGCTCGGTTGGCCAGCACCAACACGCCCAAGGTAAGCAAACAGGCTACGCTCTTTGACCGCTTCTGTAAACAAACGGCGCGGCGCCTAACTCACACAATTTTTTTTTTTCTTTATCTATAGCCCAAGGCCAAATCCACTCTGGCCTCTGTTGCCGAACGCGATGATACTCCTCCTGCTCAAGAAGTCGCTGAGAGTCTTAATGCGCTCGTCGTCCCGAACCACGACCCCGCGACGCCCTCTTCCCACTCGAACATCAAGGCCCCGTTGTCGGAAATGCACCCGAGCAAGGTTCACCCCACCGCAGCACCTCCCTCCGCTACCTGGCTCGGCTTCAGAGATATGGACCCCTCCGACAAGAAGGCCGATCCTCAGGCGACGCCTTCCAAGACGCCATTCAAGTCCACGGGCGTGCCCGAGTCGCCCTTCACCTTCCGCGTCGCCCAGCCTACCGGCGACAATGGCTTGAGCAGCGATGCCCAGCAGATGATGAACGAGCTGCGCGAGGAGGCGGCCAGAATCAAGGCCGAACTGCTCGCCAAGCGCGAGCTGGAGAGAGAGGACGAAGAGATCAACGGCCGCAGGATTGCCAAGGCCAGAGGCAAGTCTGGCCGCTTCAGCGCTGTCCACATGGCTGAGTTCAAGAAGATGGACTCTATCGAAGGTCATCCTTCAGCCTTCCGAGCCCAGCCTGGCCGGGTCACTCCTCTCAAGAGCCTGAAGCGGACCCAGTCCAAGGCGAACCTGGACGATACGCCTACGCAACCCAAGTCTAGCTTGAAGCGATCGCCCTCCAAGGCTAACCTGGACGACACGCCGACGCAGCCCAAATCTGTCCTGAAGCGATCTCAATCCAAGCCGAATGTCGACGATACGCCCACTCACCCGAAGTCGATTTTGAAGAAGCCGTCTAAGATCAACTTGGGCATCCCCGATACGCCCTCGCAGCAGAAGTCTAGCCTCAAGCGCTCTCCGTCCAAGGCCAACCTAGACGATGCGGACTCCAACAGTTCCACAAAGTCGGCTCTTGGACCTCGACCCAAGTCTCGCATCTTTGCCAACATTGAACCGCCCTCATCAGTCAAGCGTATGCGACAGCGCTTCGAGGACGATGCTACCACTGCTCGGCCAGTTTCTCGCGACGGAAGCTCTCTCCCGCGTCCCAAATCTAGCGGAACAGATGCACCTACTGGTCTTCGATCTCAGCCCAGTCTGGCCTCCCTCACGAGCCCCACTGCATCTTCCCTGGCTCGCGCTGCTGGTTCCAAGATGCCCTTGCCTGGCACACTCACCAAATCAGCCAGCAAGCCTGATCTGGGATCGCTTGTCAAGTCGCCCTCGAAGCCCGAACTTGGAAGTCTCAGAAAATCGCCCTCGAAGCCTGATCTGGGTGGCCTCACAAAGTCTGCTACTACCAACAATCTTGGTGCGCTGGAGAAGACGGCCGAGCTGAAACGCCGAATTGTGAGCCCCGGTCGCTTCGAAAGAGTCAAGTCGATTCTGCGTGGCGGAAAGGGAGCCTTAAACCAGACGAAGAGTGCCCTTCCTAAGCCCGCTTCTAGCATCTCCCAGACTCCTGCACCGCAGGCTGCAGAGAAGACGGGTCCCGCCGTTCCATTCACGACTCCGCGAAGAAAGTTGTTTAAGAGAGTCGACTTCACTCCGGACACTAACCGAGCTGCCGATGTACCGAATACCGTTGCACACCGAGCTTTTGCGAGCATGAGCCCTATCCGTAAAAATGGAGAGGTTGAGTATCCCAGCCTCGACGCCGTGCTCGGAAATGGCAATGTCACCCAGCGAAAGAAGGGCGAGAATCTCTATCCCGAACTGAATGTTGGAAGCCCGTCTGAGAAGGCGATCGAGAACGGCAGTGAGAGCATCAAGCCTCTGCCTCCGGCTGTGCCTGGTACATTCACTTTCCGCAGCGACCACACCATCCGATTCGGTAGCGCCTCTCCCACTGGTTTCGGTTCGACTGCCGGACAGGCCAGTGTCCGTCATGTGCGGGCCTCGCTTGACATGCCGGGCAGCTTCCCCACTGGCCCCGAGTTCACCTCCAACAAGGAGAACAGATCTCCCATGCAGTTCCTGGCTGGAAAGCCCCATGGAATGACCAACAAGAAGCGGGCTCGAGCTCGTGAAGAGGAAGGAGACCTTGAGGTGGATTCTGGTGATAGGGCCGGCAAGAGGCGCAAGGCCGAGCATGTGCCCGAGGGCGATGCTCTCCTGGCCCCCAGACTGATGGGTGCCACCCCGGGCACTATTGGCAAGAAGCTTCAGAGCCCTCGCGTTGCTCAGTCGCCGAGTCCCACGAAGAAGCGTGGCGGTATGAGTCTGAGCCGACTCAACATGCTGGCAAAGCCAAAGGCTCGCAACTAAGGATACGAACAGGAAACGCCCGACAACTTGGCTGATCAAAAGGCACACAACCACTTACACCGGTCTTGTTGGATTTGTATAATATGACGAAGAATGCGGATGTTTGGCAAACTGGACACGCTGTTGTCGATTGCATTGGATCTTCAGTAGTGCTGGTCCAGAGGAGAGAATTACGACTGGCGTAAACAAGGATGGCTTACGGAATGGAATAGGCTGGACCAACGGCGGTTGCATGGAGGGGAGGCATATGGACTGGTCTTGGCGTTTGTGTTTTGCTTTATGTTTGTACAATACCTACCGGGCGTTGGGATGAGATTATCTTTTTACTTTAGTTCTTGGCCGGAGGTTCTTTACCTTGGCCGTGCTTCAGGTCTATGAAAAGTTGCACTATCACCACGTATAGAGACAAGTTCATTCTGGGAAACCATCCAGCTTACTTTTGATATGGTGAAAAGGTCTTAGTTAATGACACGTCCCTCAGCATACCTACCCAGCCAGGCTCCGTCGCGAACCTGTGTGAGAAATATGGGATGAGCAGGTGGCTTGTAAACTGAATCTAAGCTCGAACAAGAGATGGGATACGAGTCAAGCATGCATTTCTTCGATCGTCAAGAATATCGAAAACGAGGCCAACGAACGAGCAATAGCACGAGTCCGGAGAACTACTCCGGGCTCGCGAACAGGTGTATTTTAGACGCCCAAGCGTACGAGCGTTCCTGTTCGCCGTCATTGCGGGTGTAGTTCTCTCGACTCCCAACCAAGGGATAACCTGGTTCTCCCAGCTGCCCGGGCAAGCCGGCCCGTCCGGAGGTTTTGCATGACGTTCGTGCCATCATGGACCCAAACACACGGAGGTGCCACCTTGCGGCCCGTCACCCGAGCGATCTCTTCCGGTTCGTCCGCCTTGGAGGGGGCGATCGCGACGAACCACGGACCAGATGCGGACGTGTCGGGTGCGGGAGTGGAGTCAGTCTTCAGAGGGCGGCTTCATGCTTCATGCTTCCATGTCCCTTGGAGCCCGAGTCTTGGGCGATTTGTTGGTAGTTGGGTTCAGCGGACACGAATTCTGTTCCCGTCTCTGTGTCGGACTAAGTCATACCCTGGCGAGTTGGCTGATTCGGTCAGTTGGGCAGTCCGTTGCGCGAGTTAGCATACTGTATCATGATCCATGGAGTTGTTGGCGTGAATGCTGTGACTGCCTTTCTGAATGACCAGCAGTGCCCAAGTTGTAGTCCATATTCGCGATCAGCTGGTGCGAAACCGAGTGGACCAGCGCATACTCAGAACCGTCTTGGCATCTTGTTCCCCAAGAGCCCGCCATCCAGAGAAAACCTCTCTTGTCGCCTTGCTGACGATGGCGCGTCTCGATCGTCAAACCCTCAAGCCTCCAATATAGTCATCCGAACCCGAAACCACAAAACGGTGTGAATCATGGACTGGTCTTTCGAGTCCTCGTGGGGCGGGCGCCTTCCTCGCTTTCCCTTGCGCGTTGCCGTTCGAGAATGCGTGGAACGGACTCTCAATC